AATGTAATCTTACAGCTTGCAGAAGGTCGGCTTCCTTCCCATATCTCATTGTACATACTTTAATGTGCAAATCCAATTTTAGCCCAGCTGACATTTTTAAGTGTTTTTATTTTTGTATATAAAATATCAAATTATATGCTGTTACCCAAAGAATAAGGGATTTGTATTTTAAATCAAACACTTCTGAGTGTATTCCATTAGGTCAAAAACTTTTTGAAGTTTCTGAATATGCCTAGGAGTCTACTAAGTAAGTATTATAAGTATAAATATCATCCATGCTCTTTGGCACTCACCATCTGGTGAAGGAGACAGGCAGGTCAACTAATAATTGATATGTAGGACAATATGTTAAGAAAGACAATTTCCAAGATAACTCTGCTGGGAAAGCAAGGGAAAAGTGTGCAGAAGAAGTGACACTGGAGCTGAGTCTCAAAGGATAAACAGGAGTTTTCCAGATAAACAACTAAGGAAAGGGCATTTCAAGCAGAGTAAAAAGCATGCTTACAAAAGGCAGAGGGCAGGAGTAACCTGAAATGCTAAGTAAACTACATGTACATTTGTCATCAGTGGTATAAAAGGAGAATACAGGAGTGGGGACAGAAGAGGCTACAAAGACAGGTGGGAATCTTAAAGTGTTCTGTACACAGAGAAAGCATCTGGCCCTTACTCAATAAATTCCAAAAGATTCCAATCAGTTGTTCATTAGATTTGTGTGTAATAAGATCACTTTGACTGCACTGATCTACAGGTGGATAGATGGGTGGATAGGCTGAACGATTAGGTATGTCTATGCAGGGAGAACTGTGCCCATGACCATGTATAGGGTTGGCAGACAAAGTTTCTACAAGTATATTTGTATATTTTGTAAAAATTCCCAGGTATCTAGTAAAGCTGACAAGGGACAAGGTTGTAGCCACTTCTTGGCCACAACCAGCTACCCAGAGGGAGCGAGTAGTTGGATCTGTGGGCTGAGGACCATGGTTCCAGGGGACATCAAGCTCAACTGGCATAACATACTACACAAAAACATTGTTCCACATCCTACTTAGCCTAGTAGCAACTGGGATCTTAAAAGCTTGCAAACAGCCATCTAGATGCAATGATGAGTCTCTTCTCATCCAGAGCAAAGAAGAATAAAGAAAATCAAAAACACACGGAAACAATTAGTCCAAGCAACTGGTACACCATGCAATCCCCAGCCTATATGACTATAAGACCAGAAGAACTAGATGATGCCTGGCTACCACTGTCAACCACTCGGAGGGAGTCTATATAGGAGGAGATCCTCGATAGAGTGGAAAAACAATGTGAAACAAAACTCAAAATCATAAAAAAAAGAAAAAAAGGGGACCAAGTTTGCTGGTCTGATAGGGCCTGATGGAACCCCTGAGACTATGGCCCCTAGCTGCCTTTCAGGTCTGGAATTGAACCCACACCTGCAGCTTCCAGCCAAACAGAAGACAGGCATATGAGCTGAACATTTACATTAGGTAGATACACTCCTTGCAGAGATCAACCATGGAAGAAAAGAACAGCTGTGTATACACAGGGAGATGGCTCAGAGGGCAGGAGTACATGGGAGGGAAGGACACAGGGAAGAGGTAACAATGGGGAGGAAATGGGAGGGGAGCTGTTGCATTGTGGGAAATTTCAGTCAATATCATGAGATAAAGTGTATGTGAGCTGCTGCATGGAAAATGAATTTGCTCTATAAACTTTCACCCAAATCACAATAAAAATTAAAAAAAAAAAAAAAAGATCACTTTGACTATGGTTTGAGAAACAAATTGGAGAGGACAAACTAAATGCAAGAAAACCAAATATGAGGCTCCTACCCAGTTCAGCTTAGAAATGCTGAGACTAAACAAAAGGAGTGATGGGACAATAGAAAGGAGAGAACAGATGTAAGAGGCATTTCAGAGGCAAAATCACCAGGAGCTGGTGACAGGTTGGACATGGGGCGTGAATGAGAAAGCAGCATCTAGAAGACTCCTGGGCTTCTGGTTATAACCAAATCCTCCCTCGACAAAATCATCACTCTCTCACTGTGATGCCATCTGCCAACTTTCAACCCACAGCAAACTTCATTTTCAAAAGAGAAATCACAAATAAATGGAAGAAATTTCTAACATACAGGATATCAGGCCTTAAACTCCTAAGTGGCTACCTACAAAATGACGGAGCTGGGGGCCAAGCAACTGAATTGAATCAAAAAAGTTTTTGGTCAATTAACCATTAAAAGCAACAAAGTGTCAAACAAAATTTCAGGGTGAATAAATGAAGTCATGGTGAAATCATACAGTATTTCTGGGGACCTACGCACCCAAAACAAACATCAAAAAATCTGCTGATAATGGCTGAGTTTCCATATGCCTGCCAGAGACTGGCCAGGCCCAAAACAGGACATAATGAAGTTCAATGAGCTTAACTTCTACACTCACTCCAAGTCAAAGGACTGCTCCTCATAAATACTTAACTGCAGAGCAGAATGATCAGCTTGCCACATTAACACCAGGAAGTTGAGCTGAAAATCATATGGTATTCCAATTAGGCGTACGTTGTTTCTTTTCATATTATACCATCTTACATATGCACTAGTGCTACAAAAGGAGCTCTGGTAGCGTACTGCCTAAGGCACTTGACTGCTAACCAGAAGGCTGGTAGTTCAAACACACCAGCCACTCCTCGGAAGGAAGATTGTACAATGTACTTCCATAGTGATATCACCTCAGAAACCCAAGGAGGGATTGCACGAGTCAGACCCAACTTGAGGGCACATTGGTGGGACTGTAAAATGGTACAACCATTGTGGAAAACAGTATGGCGATTCCTTCAAAAGTTGAAATTAGAAATACCATTTGACCCAGCCATTCCATTACTAGGTATATACCCTAAAGAAGTGAGAGCCATGACAAGAACAGATACATGCACACCCA